TAATCTGATAAAGATCCATCAGTGAAGTGCGAGCCTTTGGATCTAGCGGTGGCTTGGCGTGAGGTGTGCAATGGTTCACACAAATTGCGATAGGAACAATGCACCAGCCATGCAGGAGGTGGCGGTGGCATGGCATGAGGCATGCAATGTTCACATAAACTAGGAGAGAGGAATAATGCGCCAACCTTAAAGATGGAGAAGTGGAAGTACTATGGAGTAATATTGGTGATGCAACTGGTTGTGGGTAGTTGGGAAATGGGGAAATAACTCACGCTGAATTTACTACCACCGGTAGACCAAACGGTCATGTAGGGCTAGCGGCCAGAACGCCTATCCCAGTCGGCTCGGCTTTTCATGCGACGGAGAAAATACCATTGTCGTATCTATTGTTAACCCGTGGGTGGTAGAAGTTTCAATGGCTGGTTTCCTTTGCTACGAGGCCTCCCTATCGGTCCAACCGATGGTGGAAGTATGACACCGTCGCTTCTATCGCTATGGCTGTGAAAGTGGCGACAGTGATAAATCAATCTGTAGTAGTGTGTGAAAAGGTCTGAATGTAGTAGTGGTACCCTACATCCAGTGTAGATGAGGATCTTGGGTTGGTTGTGAGTAGGGGCTAGCAACTATATGTTTGTGGGTTGAGGATCTATTCAGGTATGTTGATCAACGGCTTCCTACCCCTCCTTATATAATATAGGGGTAGGTTTATAGATAGACTACGGTCGGTTTATAAGTAAGTTTCCTAGTCAGTTATAATAGATGAAATCAGTTTCCATATATATATTCTTATGCTCTGTTCACCAAGTAGTTGAGGTATCCCCATCCGGTTAGACCTCTTGAGTAGTCGGATTGGGCCAACCTCTCCTGATTGGATGATTTCCCTTGAGGTGAGGGTGCACGGGTACCATGTAGTCGATAGTAGCCCCTGAGCCATTATGCGATTCAGAAAATTAGATGATGGGTTCGTTGTAATTGAAGTTCGAGTGCGAGTACTTTCTATGTCTCAGTGTTTTTGTATAGTCATAGTCGATTGGGTTCACATGAGCGGACCCGATAGGTGTAGCCCTTGAGTCTCTGAGTGATTTGAAGAATCAGTTGCAGGGAAAATTTGAAGCCAGTGGCTTCTTCTGATCTTAAGCGTTCGATGAGCACACCCAATTGGCGTGATGTGATGAGTTAGGTGAATCCTAGCGGTGACATGCCTAAATGGTCATGGCTAGAGACGTTGCTAGCAGTGGTGTGGCTAGCTTGGGTAACCCAACAAAAGCGTACTTGAGTGGTCATAGCCGGCGACGTTGTTGGATGTAGCTTGACTGACTCGAATGAAACCTGCGGTAGTGTGCACGAGCAAATGTGTAGTCATGATCTGAGATGTTGTTGCACAACAGCATGACTGACTCAGCTTACCGATGTACATCATGTTAGGTGTAACCCCTGACATTATTGGCATGGCGGGAGAGCAGGAGATGTCGTGGGGATGCCGTGTCGCGTTGCGAGAGATCAAGAGATGCCCTGGATGTGGCATTCATGAGAGAGGAACACAAGGACAAGCGTGACTCACTCAGCTTGGCGACCGGCCTACCTAACCCTAGGAGTGAGACCCCCCACCTCCTGGGCACTGGAGCTCACATCTTGAACTTGTGCAGTAGCAGCAGGAATGGCATTTGTGAGAGAGGAAGGCAGGGACATGGGCTCGGAAATTCATATGAATTTCTCACTAACATGATTTCTTATGTAATTTAGCAATTTTTGTTTTATTCATAGCATATATCTTTTATGAATGTGCTTGTTCTTTTATCATAATTTGAATTTTCAAAATTCTCTTGTAAAAAGAATCCAAAAGGAGCTTTTTGGAATGAAGTAAAAAACATATATGGCTGGTCATATAATCATGGTTATATTTTCTATACTAGGGTTTTTATACTTGGCATAAGAAAAATAACTAAACTAATACATTTTTTATGAATTTGTTATTGATGGAATTACCAATAGAGTAGATCTTGTTAGTTTTTGTATAGGAGAAGAAATCAAATATGGAGGGGGTCAAGTATTGTCTTATCTATTCTTTTCTATTATATATCCTTGTTATTGTTCTTTACTCCATAAAATGGCTTATTCTATTGCTGAGTTGGTTAGATGGCTCTAGTAGCACCCATCAGGTCCTAGGTTTAATTTCCCATGGCCATAAATTTTAGCATGAGGTTTAAAAAATCCTCTCATCTGTCTCACACCAAATCACACGTAGGTCGTGGTCATTCTTCCATGGGCTACACTGTCATTGTGTATGCATGGGACAAGGGTTTCTTAGCAAAATGCATGATCTTACCTCCCCTAGGTGAGTTTTTTTTCCTATGAATTCCTCGAGCAATAATAGAAGGCATATGCCATCTTGGGCCAGCCCAATTTTGCCTAACGTCGATACATCGCAAGCCCAATTGGCCAATTAATGTTTCCTCTTCTTACTCGTTCATTGACTCGTTGCCAACGAACGGAAGCCAAAGCAGTGCCCGATTGTTTCATCTGTTCAAGCAAAACTACAGCGGAGTGGAGCGTTAAATCAGGAAGTGAAGTCATTTACCGAACGGTAATACTCTCTCCACGACGTCCGTCCGTGGACGGACGCGTTGGTGTGCCGCAATGCCTACCAGGTTTTCTTATCCGCTCCTACACGGAACCACTCGCGGCACTCGCCCGCATCGCAAAAAAAACAAAGAAAAGAAACCATAGATGTGCACTCCGCTCTGTACCCGCGGCCGCCGTAGGCGACGCCACTAGCTTCACACCGTCCACGTCTCCGCCCAAGCTTCCCCTTCCTCTCTCTCTCTCTCCCCCCCCCCTCTCTCCCGACGTGGCCCAAATTGCGGCCACCTCCGCGCGCTGTGCACGACCGGGCAGGTGGTGCCCCAGCCGTGCTGCGCAGTCGCCTGGCGGGGTGGCCGCTCGCCCGCATCGCGTGCCGCGTGCCTCCGCCCCACTCTACCTCGCTGCTCCTTCCACTAGATCCACTGCGCGGCGAGAGATCCGATGGTGGTAGGGACTGCGGCGACGGCTACAGGGGCTGCAAGGGGGGCTGTGTGTCGAGCCCACGATACTAGCAGCCACGAAGGGATCCCCGCCGGCCTCGTAGTAGGCGGAGTCCATCTGGTCGATGGTTGCGACGGCGCAGCTGCCTCCTGTCAACTCCACACGCCGGCAAGCCTCCATTTTCCATGCAGCAAAGAGATGTTGCGATGTGCTGAAAACACATGTTGCAAACGTATGTTTCAAGTGTTTTAGATATTTTAGAGGTATGTTGCAATTATTTTTAGATGAATGTTGCAAAAGTATATCAGAATGTTACATATGTTGCAAATGTTTTATCTGGATATTGTGTATGTTTGCAATGGTTTTCAAGTTGTTTCCATGTGTTTTTGCAAATTTTTTTGAAGCATGTTTCAAGTGTTTTATTTGTTTTGAGACGTACGTTGCAAGTGTTGCATCTAGATGTTTTAAAAGTAGATCGGGTGTTGAACATGGTGCAATACGCGTGAGAAGCGGAGGGGACGCGAGCAGTCCCTGAGCGCTGTCTGGCGGCGCGGGCGGCACAGGGCCCACAGGGGCACATGAGACCGAGGCACAGGTGGGGCATGCTGGGTTTTTTTTTTTTGTGCGCGGGCGTCCGAACGTGGGCCTCAGGCCGGATGTCCGGACGCTAGTCGTCCCATTTACCGAATGTCTAAAATCACTTATCCTCTTATATGTGTGGTACCATTTTGGATGTTATATATCCTGAATATATGAATTGTTTTTGTAATTAATCTATTCTCCGCCCTAACTAAATTTTACAGCTAGATCGTCGGCCACTGAAGAAGAGAGACGTGCAATCCTCGTCATCAAATCCAGCACCAGCTGAATCAGAACCAGTGCTAGGGGAGTCGCATAGTCCAACAAGTCAACGTGCAGATCGCCAGGCGAACCTGGTAAACTAGCGAAGAAAGGTGGCATCAAAGGTTGAGCATGGAGGATGAAGCTCGAGATGCAGGTGGCGACCCCAACAAGCTAGAACGGGAAGGGGGTGCAGGCCCCGAGAGACTATGACATCGAGCGACATCGAGAACACCTCCCCAAGGAGCCGAAGGGGGCAGCAACAGTGGACACCAAGCCAGGGTGGACGGGATGGCAGGAAAGAGCTAGCACGATTCTAGATACACCGAGGACGTGCTTGGTAACTATATGGGAAGAGGTATGTAAATTAATGGTCAGAGTTGATGGACGGATTTAAGGTGGAAGTTTGATTTTTAATCACAAATCCTTGTTTGGTTCATGTGGGGAAATAAGATGTGGAGAATCGAAGGGAGAATTCATATCTATTGATTGATGTGGAGGGTTTTTGAGTGAGAAATTATAGGACAAGTCATAATGGATGATGAGGATATTTTTTTTATTAAAGCATAATTCATGAAAATTGTAAACCTTAATATATAGTAGCTAGTTATCAACACCAAATTAGATACGTTGATCCATGGAAAATCCTATTGAGACGTGTAGACTCATCAAATTCTCATCACAACATCAGTATATAGAGCACGCGCCAATTGTTTGATTATTCTTTTGTTTTGTCATCGAAGTGTTAGCTTCATGATTGTATCCTTTACGTCTCCCATGCTAGCTTTCAATGGTGGAGCTCGTAGATACCCTTCGTTCTAAATTTTAAGACATTTTGGCTTACATTTTAAGGACCGTAGAAATGATGAGTGCATAAATTTTTTAATGCTTTGGCAAATCGGATGATTGAATTTGAAATGCTTCCATGTAGCGGTTGAGGGATGTAGTCGTTTTCAAGTAGGCAGAGTGGAATGCCAAAGTAAGCGAAAACAATGTCAGAATTTTAAGAAAGACTATATGGGCACCCTCAATTTGGAAAAGTATGGGCTCAAATTTCATCCCATTTCTCCTATGTTCTAATAGTGAAACAATTGCAACTTCTGTACACATCATGAATTCATGCTCTCTGCTTTTAATTAGTAGCCTGGAAAAAGCGGTGGCGGCGGTGACTGGTACTTGGTTCCTCGTACTGGTGGGATGATAATCGGTGGCGGCGGCGGTGATGCTCTAGGTGGTGGTGGTGGTGGCGGCGGTGATGGCCACCCACATTGTTGGACCTTGGTACAGTCTACGGGTTGGGTCACGACTGGCGTACACTCATCTGCACCCTTCTGCATCGGCCTTGATTGTCCCATGCAATTTGCATCGTCATGAAAGGACGATGCGTCCGCTGTGCTGCTGCACTCGGAGGCCTCACGCGTGAAGAAGTTGTATGAGACCGAGAGGTTCGCCAACGCCGGCAGCTTGCAGACGTGACTGGGCACATCCCCGGTAAACATGTTACGCGACAGGTCCAGCTGCTCGACCTTGGACAACCCGGCCAGCGTCGGCGGGATCGAGCCTGTGAGAGCGTTGTCGCTCACGTCGAACACCGTGACGTTGGTGAGGAGCCCCGTCTCGACAGAGAGGCAACCAATGAGGCTGTTGTTGATGAAGATGAACTGGTCCAGCGTGGCGGCGGCCTCACCGATGCTCCGGGGGATGCAGCCGCCGAGCTGGTTGTTGGCGAGGACGATCACCGTCGCCTTCGTCCTGCCGATGGTCTCCAGGTACCAGAGGTGAAGCGGTTGTTGTTGAGGAAGATTGCATCGTAGGGCTTGAGGAAGAGCTCCGACGGGATCGGGCCATCGAAATCGTTGAACCGGATGTCGAGGTAGCTGAGCTTGGGGACGCCGAGCACCGCGGCAGGGAAGGGCCCGACGAAGCAATTGTTGCTGGCGTCGAGCTCGTAGAGCTCCGTCATGTCGAATGGAGTTGAGGTGGAGCACGGCGAGGTCAGACATGAGGCCGATCTCCCTGGGCAGGTACCCCGCGACATCAGCGGCGTTCACATCGAGCGACGCGACGGCGCTCTCCGACTCATTGTGCGGCGACGGGACGCAGGACACGCCGTTGTAGGCGCACACGTCGGGGCCGACCCAGTTGCCGGTGAAGTTGTTTGGGCCAGAGTAGAGCGCCTGCTTCAACGCGTGCAGCGCCTTGTGCGCCACAAGGAGGCTTGGGTTGTTGATCTTGACGTCGGTGTCGATGTCAATGTGGACATGGTCATTCGGGTGCTGCTCCTCGAAGGCGACCAGCTGTGGATGGGCAATGGCGGCCGCCTCGTCAGTGGTCAGCGCCAACGACGACAAGGGGAATAATAGGAGGGTTATAACACCCTAGGTGTTAGGCTTGCATAATTTGACTTGCATTGCATGAGCATAATCATCAAGCATTCATATATGAGCTTTTACATATGAAACATACAACTGAAACATTAGAAACATGCCTTGTTATTTCATGTTTTCTTTGTATATGCTTATGATCATGAGTGAATAAGTGTAAGTGGTTGATGTTAGTCACTAAAACACCTTAGCTACACTTAGGATGACTAATGGAACCATGTTCATGTAGATCACTTCATGTAATTAAGCTCCTAAGTGATGATATGCTTGTTGACCTGGGAAGTTTTATATGTAACCAATGTATGAAATGCTTGTGTGACCTTAGAAATACATTAAACATGTTTAGCATGTCACTATGAACAACTTTAGTATTCATGACTAAGGCTAGTTTGGTCTCCAAGACATAGATATAGTGTAAGTCATCATTTATAAGTGGTATGTTTGACCTAGGTTGAACTATGTCACAGAGACTTTGCATGGATGTGTTCACTAAATCAAAGTTGTAGTATTTGATGAGAGCAACAACTTTTATTTTTGGGGTCATAGGCTAGTTCAGCTCCTAACATGCTTGAATTTGGCTCACAAGAATCAAGATTTCACTGTTTTTAGCACTTAGAAAAAAATTGCTAAGTCATTTGGAGTTTACAGTGTGATGTGCTCGACTTTGTTCTGATTTTTCTCTCTAACCATTGAGAATTAGGCTTTGATTTCTAAAGAAGTTTTGTAGCTGGTACATAGCTCTACAGATCTTGTTTTAACATTTTACACTAATTCGCCACCGTTTAGGATCTAGGAGGGTTTCAAATCGCGTCGTCAGGCCGGATTTCAGATGCTGAAGAACGCAGCGTCGCGCGCCAAGGTGGCCGACCGGGCGCAGCTTCTGGCCACCGCTAGCCGACGCTGGGCCCTCACCGCCGCGCGCTGGCGCTCGATACCTGAGACCCCGCGTGCCTCATTTCACATTCACCCGCTCGCTCTCACTCTCCAGCGCTCTCTCTCGCTCTCGCCGCAGAAGAGCCGAGCGCCGCTGAGCAACCGAGCAGCTCCGCCGTCGCCTAGCGCCTGCTCCACCGCGCCATTGTTGCCTCCATCTCGTAGACAATTGCACCGCATTCCCCTCTACCACCTCGACTTGGTTGCAGCACCGGACGAGCTACGGTGAGGACGAAATCGTCGTTTCCGTCCTCATCGGAGATCTTGGCCTCCATGACCGCCTCCACGGCGAGCTCGCCGCTGCTGAGCTTGCATGCGCATTCCTTTGCCTTTGTCGTGTTAGGGCTTGGTCAGGATGTACTCACGCGGGCAGAGCTCGTCGGAGCACCTCGCCTAGCCTAGGTAGTCTCAATAGGGTCGCGTCGTCACCACGGAACTCATGTGCTCCTCGCCTGCCCTTGACGTGGCCGGAGATGGCGGCGCACCACAGCGCAGCGCCGCCTTGCCGCCATGGCCGGCGATGAGCATGCTCCTCTGCGTTGCCACCACCTAGGTCAATCGATGTGGTTTGATGTGTAGATCATGTTGGTGTGTTTGGTTTCACCGGAGACCTCGCCATCGGCGAGATATCACCGATCGACCATCGGACTCTGCTTCGGCTCGATGACGGGTGGACTCGGCTGACCTGTGGGTCCCTGATGTCAGTGAAAGCAGTTTAGGGTTTTTGTTAATCCTTTTACATATTTCTATACTAACTTTGCCACCACCAAGGTCAATCGATGTGGTTTGATGTGTAGATCACATTGGTGTGTTTGGTTTCACCGGAGACCTCGCCATCGGCGAGATATCACCGACCGACCATCGGACTCTGCTTCGGCTCGATGACGGGTGGACCCGGCTGACCTGTGGGTCCCTGATGTCAGTGAAAGCAGTTTAGGGTTTTTGTTAATCCTTTTACATATTTCTATACTAACTTTGAAAAATCATAAGTTGAGTTGTAGAGGTTCATTTTTGGTGAACCAAATTTTGTTGTGTTCCTTAGGAAGTGTAGTATTTTATAAAAAATATGACATGTACAGTTTCTAGTATTTTTATTAGTGATTAAAATGTATTTAAACAAATGCTTTTTGAATGTTTACAATCTTGTAAATTATATATCTTGAGCTAGAAATGTGATAAAATTATGATTCCAATTTTGTTAGTCTTGTATTGACATGCTCTAGCCAGAAAAATATTAAGCTTGCAGTAAACTTGATTGAAATATGATTTTTCTATTTATCTATTAATAAATGGTATTATCTGAAGAAAATTATAGGGATAAAAATATGTAACATATTGCTATGCAAATTTTTGTACAGTAGTACGGCACTAGAATGAAGCTATGGATAACTATTTTCACTAAAATAGGCCTTGCTAGCTTGTCATTTTTATAGGGGATGTTATACATGTCCAAATGGTATGAAATTTTTACAATAGTCTAATAGGAACACTTGGAAGCCACTTTAATTTTATGAGAATTTATTGTGCAAATTTCGTATATGTTTGTTATTTCCCCTAATTATCTAATTAAATTAAGAAAAGCATTTAAATAAACAAATTGTGATTGACCATGATGTTTTCTATGGTGCTTGAGATACATATGGACTGTTGAAGTTAGTAGTAAGGCTTAGAAGCAATTGGTTGATGCAACTCATTAATTATTGCTTTATAATTCAAATAAATGGTCGTAATGTATAGTTTCGGTTGATTGGATGATTTCATGTTGATAATGATCTTTGTTGTAAAACTTGTTAATAACAAAGTTGTAGATAACTTACTAATCTACCTGGTGTTTAAATTTTTATGGTCATAGGCCTTAGGGTTTAAGAGTTTTGGTTGTTAGAAGTTTGTCGTCCTAATTGTTTACTTTCTGGACAGATTTATTTTACTGAATTGTTTGACCTAGATAACTATTGAATCACCTTAAGAGTATTAAAAGAAAGTTGTAAACAATTTCATAATCTTTCCAGAATGTCCACAACCATATGATTTCAATATATATAACTCCAGTTATGGTTAAAACAAGTAGCTAATGTTTTGTGGTTTAGTAAATGAATTGCAGAAGTGTTTGCTTAAGTAATAAAGAAGAGATATGCACCTACTTAGTAGAATAGGATGCACTTGTATTGCTTTAACACCATGCTGTTGAAATTACTTATGAGGATGCATTCATCACATTGTATCATATTATACGTGTCATCATACATGCATTCGCGATATCTTATGCCATATTCATGCATATAGGATCGACCGAGGAGATAACGTTGCTGGAATTCAACAAAGAAGAGGAAGGAGATCAGCAGGAGACTCCTCAATCAATAGCTCTAGAAGAAGAGGAGCAAACTCTAGAAGAGCTCCCCGAGTGCCCTGATCACCGCCCCACCTCTTTTCTTAAAGGCAAGCCCCGGAGCATTATAAGTCTCCCAGTGTTTTACAAAATATTACTTGAGTCCTTTATGATGGATGCATTAGGTTATAAGAGTTGACTGAAAACACTTGATGCATGAAACTACCTTGTCTAGATATATATACACCTTTAACCCTGTGTAGGTCTAGGATCGAATATATGCTTTGCCATGCTTAGACCGGTAGAAGTCGGGTGATTTTCTGTCACTTGCGAGATATAGGTGGATACCGAAGCACGGTTGGCTATATTTGCTATCGTGGAAAAAAACCATGGGGTAATGTAAATGGAGGCCGGGCGGAGTCTATGTGTGGGTTGACTCATGTGATTCTGTCTGTGCTGATTAAGGATCGTACCGTTGTTTGACCTTTTGACAAGATTGAACGCATGCCTATCACTTACCTGGCCGGATAACTCGTTCCGACCATGAAGCCGAGTAGCTCAACTCAGGCCGGGCCACGCTCTATAAGAGTGTGCACTCTGGATGGTAGTAAGGATGTGTGGGGAGCCAGCCATGAGCCCAAGGGCAGGGTAGTCCTGATCGTCCTGGTAGCTGGTTGTCCCAGATTGTGCGACGCTGGGCGAACCCGTGAAATGTGTACTTGAGTTGTTCCAAAGGTGACCTAAGGTGACCGTTGATCTGGTCTGCCTGGGTTTGTGTTAGAAATAAATTTCCAGCTGGTTGAAATTGATTCGAATCACCGTCTCTCTCGGATAGTGAGAAACTTGGCTAGCTCCAACCTCATAGTAATTGTATTATGGAATGTGATGGTTCGGATAAACATAGAATTACTATACCGACTATGGTTACTATTGTATGCTCTTAAAATGGTATATGTTTGGCACAGGATAGTTGCTAATCTAGAGATGAATAGCTATAATTAACTTGATGACCTAAGTATAACTGTGTAACTGAGTTAATCGCATTTTATGCAAAATGTTGTTAAGCTACCTCCACTTATAAAGCCTTACATAATCCTTGGAGTTAATTTATTTCTGGTTTATGATGGATAAGTCTAGCTAAGTATCTTTTTGTACTCAGGGTTTTATTCCCATTGTTGCAGATGGTACCATCCATCACGGTTATTGCAAGAATTGCTTCTATCCCGCCGTAGATGAGGAGTGAGCCTTGGGCAGGCATCTTTAATAATCCTTCTACATGCTTTTTGTGGATTGTGATCATGTGTTGGCACTGTATTTGAACTATGTTGGCAAATGCTACTTTTGAACTTTAATTTGCTTCATCTACTATCTATCGAACTTGGTTTGTAATAACTCTATTTCGTACTCTGATGATTGATCTGTATCTATGACCTTTATGTAACATGTGACATGTATGTTGAATCATGTACGATCTTGGTTGTATGTGGATCGTTTATCGGGACCCGTCGTGGTACTCGACAGACTACCGGTTTATATGGGCTCAAGTATGACAGTGCGACCGCTTGCGGGCCGCCATTGTACTTATGCTCTCATAAATTGATCGGTTCTACGATAAGGGTGGTGACGATGAGTAGTACAAAACGAAGGGTGCCCATGGTCAGAAATGCATGGATCATCAGCCTTGACCGAAGCCAATGCCTGGTGGAGGGATTAAGGAACAGGAGAGAGAAAATCCATAGCGACATGTGTGGCAGTGGAGGTTTTTGTATATGCATGAGGTTGCTTAGAGTAGTTTGGATGGTCGCGAGGATTAGGAGGAACGAAAGTCAGTTTTGTGTTGATAATTGGGTTGCCAAAGAAGGTAAAACAGCTGGTCTTTTTCTTTTCTTTTCATTTTGGGATAGTATAGCATTCAACTTTTAGGTGCAGGAAGAAACATTGTATTTTTCTTTACTAGAGCACAAGCGGTTAAGACAAAGGCATGTTTTCTAAGGGAAAATGAGGCAACGAGCTGAACAATGCATCTGTGGTTGCAGAGGAAGCAAAACAGAGAAAGGGTTGGTAAATTATGCTCGTGCATTTAGAGAAAGACAGGCGCATGTTTTTTTAAGGAACTCGAGAGTGGAGGCCCTACCTAATTTGTATTAATATTAAAATAAGCTATAGATATGCAATGCCAAGGTGGCAAAGAAAAGAGAAGGATGTAAGCAGAAAAAGAGAGGGAAAGAAAAAAAAGTAAGGGTCCCTTTGATTGGGCTTTCAAACCTGCTTTTGCTTTTGCAAAAGCCAAAAGCCATATGTTTGCCTAAAACCAACTTTCACTGCAGTACAAATCCAAAAGCACCTCTTTCTCTGCTTTCACTGGCTTTTAAGCCCCAAAATTACTCACCTGCCACTAGTTATGATAGGAAAAAAACGATTCGCTCGGCTTTCTTTCTCCTATCGCCCTCTTCCACGTCTTCCACTTCCGCATCACGCGAGGACCACGAACCGTGGCTACGGTTCGCCAATCCACCTCCCCCTGGCCATCGGTGCTCTCTGGCCGGCCGGCCGCCCCACCAGTCCCACTCGAGGCCAGCCACAGCCCCCCTGAGACTAGCCGCAGCCCAAGCCACCACCATCCCTTCCCCACTGCCCGCCTACTCGGTGTCTAACGTCCGCCCTAGCAAGGTGCAGCACCGGCCGCCTATCCCACCAACACTGGTTCTAGCATGGCCGCCAACCATAGCCACGGTCCTCCATAGACTCGTCACGTGCCGACAGCGCTCCTTCAAGGTACGTCCGTCTACCCTCTGCTCCAAATAGATCCCTCTGTTCCAAACAGGATGGGTGACAAGTTTGGATGAAGAATGTATGATTATTTGTTGCGTTGGAGAATGTATGACAGTTGTTGCCGGCAAATTGATTGAAAAAAAATGTTTGGTTCAAGAATGGGTGACAAGGCACATTGGGGTGATGGTTTTTTGAGGCATTTGTATGATACCTGCAAAGAAGAGATAGAAGCTGCGAATAGGCCGATGGGAATTTTCACTACTACCGGTTGGAAGAATGTTGTTTCCAAGTTTGCAGAAAAATCCGGTGACCGGCGAACAAAAAAACAATTGAAGGACAAGTTAGATGTTTTGGAAAAAGGAATATATTGTGTTTATGGAGTTCAAGAATTGTGCCACTGGACTTGGATGGGATGATGCAAAAAAATTGTTGACTGCTCGGACAAATGGTGAAAGGAACACCTTGCTATAAGAACTAAACTGTCATTGTAAATATATTTTTTTAATTGTTTGGTATGGTGTGACTTGCTAATTTTTATTATTTAATTTTAGAGATGCAACAATCCTGAGAAAGGAATCAAATGCAGTCATGTGAAGTTTTGAAAACAAGGACCCAAGTTTCTTGAAGATATGCATATCTTGTTTGGCAAGGCACATGTTAGTGGGTCTTTTGCATCCTGTCTTGGAGATATGTCCTCCAATGAGGCAAGTGATGAGGATGTGGATGACGTACCTAAACCTGTAGAAGAGAAGGAAAAGACAGTAAAACCAGGCAAAAGGAAACGCAAGGGGACCTACAATGCTGTTGAAGAGAAGAGATGTCGGGGTCAAGATACCCCGGGTATCTCAAGGCACCGAATGCTGAGCCGCTTGGGTGGCCCAGCTAGCTAAAGCCTAGCAACTACGACCCACTTAAGCCACGCAGGTCCCGGGCTAAACACCAAGACATGCGGCCCATCATGACCTCTTCCTTCCCCTTCCGCTACATGCCTCATAGTCACGCTCGACCTCTTCCCCGTCTTGACCCGTGAGAAAGGACAGGGAGAGGCCAGACGCCATCGAGTACGCCTTCCCTGACAGAGACAGGCACACTCTACACACTTTTTTAGAATGGAGAGGGCGGCCATCTCTCGAGACATGAGATCTTGAGGCAAACGCCATCCCTGCGCACCTGTTGGTATTAGTTAACACAAACAGAGAAATCCACAAGCGCACGGATACCATTGTAGCTTTCAACTAGGAGAATTCTAGGGTATCGTATATATTGTCGGGGAAGCAATGGTCAAAGGAGTTGATAAATAACCATCATGTATCTACAAAGTAGTATACCGACTAGACTAATGTGGGGGTAAGTGATAAAGATAAGGTTTTTGTACAATGACACACACAGGAAAACTCCATGGTAAGATAAAAGGGTAGACAAGCTAAGCTGGGAGACAACGGGTGAGTTCAAGGTTCCTTTATACTTCTCTATTACTGTGGTTCTATTCTAGAGCAGACCAAAGGGATTTACTAAACAATGGGTAAACATAGTGATCACACCAAAGCACTTCGGAGCAGCAATACCTTTCCGATCCTCGAAAAGACTAGGAAGGGATGATCGGGGTCAAGCTATCAAAAGCTCTGAAAATACCAACCTAAACGTGGTGGATTACAAAGGCCTAGTCGGAGCTATCACCTCTAGGGCTACCACAACTATCCGTAGGGTTAGGCGCAAACTCAAGTAACCTATAGTCTAGACATCACGTCTATACTATTGATTACTACTCTAGTCAAGTACTATAACTAGAGCACTTGGTCGAGCAGAGATCCCATGCTAAGGTGTAGAACCACTACACTAACCATGCTTAGCTAGACCACTAAGGCATGACCTAGATAACCATGAAAGATAATTCAATAACTAGAGAAGATAAGCATGTTGATATTCGAGTCTTACAAAGGAGCAATACAAGATTATACCGAACCTCCGAGGACTCCTCCGGAACATTGAGCATCTCTCCCTAACTCCCAACTAGGTTAATCTACTTTTACATCTTGGAAAATGGTAGAGAGGAGAGCCCTTGTTTTGTGTGAGAGGAGGAGCTCTCCCCCTCTATTTATAGCCATAGAGAAGGTCGGTTTGGAGGAATATTCCTCATATGTCAGCATGCAACCACCTTGGGGAGTTCACCAGGAAGCGCCACATGGAAGGAGGAGGAGAGAGGGGCGGAAGGGGGTGCGGCCACACCTAGGTGGAACCTTCCCGTGACTGCCTTTGCATGGTGGGCTCTCCACTGGACCTGTGTTGTGTCTTTGGGGCTTTGGCCTAGTTTTGGTCTGGTAGGATTTGCTTTATGGGCTCTTTTCCCCTTGTGTTTGTGCTGGATGGAATATGTTTTGTGTGTGTGCATTTTCGTTTCTTTTTCATGTTTTCCCGATATGTCCTCCTGTAAATGAACAATCACCAAAACTGATGGAATTTGTTAGTAATAAATCCTAATACTAAGTTTGGTGGTTGTTTTAGTGGATATTCTTTGAAAGTTAGCGGCTAAAATAGGAGTTAAGAGCCGTCTATAGCACCCCTGCACAGACAAGACAACACTGCGGGGCGGTGACGACTGGTACGGCACCACACCACCCAAATTCAACCTAACAAGATGGGTGTACGGTCCCACCTGCCGCAGGATGGGTCACATGCCCCTGGCCTTGTCCTCACAAGATTAACCAGGCCACCAGGAGCCTCGACCCTGTGATCCAGGGTCGAGGTCTACAGCGCCATGACCTAGGGAGGCAACCAGTGACTCGAGAGCGGCTACCTACTCCCTCACTATCGCATGATGCCACCTAGAGAATAGGGAACGATGACAGAGGCCATGGCATGACCACATCATGCAAGACAATTGGTGAACCACCACCATACCAACAGTGTTATCACGACCGACACTGTAGCATCATGCCATGCCATGCCTTGACATAGGGAGCAAGATCACGTCAACCATGAGGACGACTATTGACGATCACTAACACCAATTTTGACCATCAACATTTCACCCAAAAGCATGATAAAGTGAGGTAAAACAGCATCACATGTGTTGCATTTTGTTTATAATTCACCTAGTTCCACTTGTACTTGTAGAATTATTTGTATGCATAAAATTATAGCAAAAGTTGTGCAAAATGGTGACAAAAAAGGGCAAAGGGAGCAAGTGGATGTGGCAGGGGGCTAGGGGCCCACATGCCATGCCAGCCGACCCCACAAGGGCACCGCCCGGAGTGTCAAGTGGCCCTGCCACGTCACTAATCCATGGGAGCTGCTCCACAAGCCTTCCCAAGCGTCCATTCAACGTCGGTTTACATCAAGGAACAAGATGGAGTGCCTTGGATCCATGGGCCCATTGTCATACACCTGGAGGCCTCCAACCGACCATGGAACCAACCTTCTGTCTGAATTTTGATATGTGCTGCCTCTACAGCAGCCATTGGGAGCCAACCAGCATCGTAGGATGCAAAGGCGATGTATCCTAGGGCTGGCCAGCGCCACCATGCCACCGCCCGACGCCCTAGGTGCCCCCACCGACCTCCTGGCTGCCTACAAGTGCCCCACTGCCTCTCCACACTACAAATTGGGGCAGTGGTGCTTGTTGGCGGCCTTTACCAACCAAATTCGACCACCAATTAAGATACAAAAAGAAGAGAAATTAGCAAACTTAAACACATATGCATTTACTATTAACCAAGTGCCACATGTTTTTGGAGAACATTATTTTACAGGTCACAAACATAAATACATGGAATAATTCACCGAAAGGTGTTTTTCGACACTGATTTGCGTAAAGAAACAAGGGAGACGCCAATCAACTTAGTGCAAAGTGGACAAAGCACCACCGTGCTCTGATCTAGGTCTAGCCTAGAGCCTGCCACGCGAAGGCGGTGGCGCGGCGTCTCAGTTAGGGGGTGGCCGCCCCTAGTGGCGCCTGACCCCCTGCCAGCGCTGCTCAGCCACCCCTTCAGCAGGCGGTGGCATGCCTCCATGCCAAGGCGGTGGGAGCCGGTCCGCGTGCCACGAATAGCCAAAGCACCGCCCTTGAGCCCTGTATAAATAGAGGGGTACCCCCACTCTCTAAACACACTTCACTTAAGCAACACCTCACTCCCTTACTCTCTAGTAGTAGCTTTACTTTCTTTTAGTAGTTTAGAGCAAGACAAAGCAACCTTGGAGAGCTTGGCTCCTTGGAAGAAGAGACCTTTGGGTATGAATAGAGATATGAGTTCTTCCAAAGTCATGCTCTCATCTTACATTTATAGTCATACTTATTAACTAGAGTATAGTTATTGTGTTATAATCTTGATATATGAACTAGTCTATAGTTTGTGTCATGAGAGTAGCACACTGAACTTTATGCTTAAACACTCATATAACTTATATAATCGGAATTAGAGCTAAGTTGGGGTGGCGGTTCATCGTGTCGTTTGGTGTGCCCAAGTCCTTTACCTATCGATCCGTAGGGTCAGCGACCCGGGGGGATTTGGGTAGTTTCTGTATACACAAGTGTGGTGCTTGGGTATGGAGAGATAGGTGAATGCATTGTCCCTTTCCTTGGTTGAGGGGTACATGGCAGGTGGTGATAGCCCTGTCCGTCCCTTGTAATCTCCCATGTTCGACTGGGCTGTAGGAGTCTAAATTGTCACATGAAGTTGCTGGTAGACCAGTACTCGGTGGCCTCCCAACCTAATTCATACTTAGCCCTAAAACTAATTATGTAACTTCTATGATCATTAACTAATATTTGTATGACTATATTAGACCAATGCCTGCTCGACTTAGAATTATTCTTTTTTCTCTTTATTTTATCCTTCGAGGAATGCCAAGT